ACTAATTGGTGAGCTCCCATGTCAAGAAACTGAAGTCCTGAGACCCACTCAAGTCAGACAACAAGAGCATGTATGAGATCTGTGGGCACGTGTAACTTTAAGAAACAGTTAAATTATATTTGGCTACAAATATAATCTACCACATTGAATGTATTAATTTGTTTACTGAAATTCATTTTCATAAACTTGTTTATTGTGTAGCATTTACTAGAATATCAGGAATAGCTGATATTCTAGTAAATTTATAGAGAGCATTCTTCTAATGTGTTTTGCTCATGATTTGTAGCATATCCAGAGTTGTACTACCATTGTAACTATCTAATTCTAGAAAAAAATTTCATCACTTCCCCAGAACATGCCCAAAGCATTAATATTTACATTCCACTGATCCTCTGCCTTCTGCTGGCAACCTTCAATCTATTTTGGGTTTATTCAACTCCTGCACCAGGGACTGGGAAAGGCAGGGGATATTATGAGAAGATAGGACATGAGAATGAACACTTACATCTGACCTGCAATGTGGATTTCACATGTGTCTAGCTGCTGTCAGACTCTCATCAATTGGTTTCATATTAAAATCTTCAGTGGAGCAATATAAGTTTGTTGCTGATGACAAGTGATGAATCTCACGTTCAACTCACTGTAGTTGGTGAGATACAGTGTGCATTTTTTTTAACCAGAAAGCAAGAAGTTTTAAATTGTCAATGGTGTTACCCAGATAACGAAAAATATCTCTGAATACTTGTTTAGGTAAAATAGCCCCACTCATAGTCACCTGGATCTGCATTTCAGCTACTGAATGAAACTTTTGACTAAAAGATTTTTGGAAAACTAGACACTAAGGTCAATAATCAACCTGCTATTATTAATATGCTTAATGGAAACAATGCAAATGTGCAGTCATAGGCTTTTCAGAATGGAAAGTATGTTATAGCTCAGCTTCTTTGGAACATAGTCTACCACATTGTACCTCCCAATATGCCTTTGTTGCAGGTTCTTCTAACTCAAAAAGTTTTAAAGTGCAACTGTTTCAGAGATACTCAAGAAACCCAATTTGGAGAAGGTGTGACAGGGAAGTGGATGAAGTGAATGACCCTTGACTTGGGGGGAAACTTAGTAGGTGTACTAAGGTTTTCTGTTTTCTCTGAGAAATGAAAAGGAGATTAACACCCTTTGATCCTAAAAACAGTTTCATGTGGTAGGCAATATGTGAGCAATGAAATTGTAATTCATGACAACGTAAATCCACTGCAGACTATCAGATCACCATGCTCTCAAAGAGCTCAGGCTCATGGTTTGAAAGAGCAAAAAACTGACAAAGATTGTTAAGACAGATTTTTATGCCAAAATTCTACTCGAATTTGGTTCTCTTCTACAAATATTATTCCCCACAATGTGAGAGCAGTTTTTGTGTGTGTGTGTGCTTTTTGGGTATAGAAAAAATTGGGGTGATAAGGCTAAATGAATGCAGTACTAATTATTATGGGCTCTGATCAGTACCTTACTCTTGGTTATAAAGCCTCTTTTAGGAGACTCAGCCACACATACAGATTTTAGAATCAATTTCTCAATATCCAAACACATGCAAATAAGTGAACAAAAACTCTATTTGAGCCTTTATTCGAATGGTCTATTTAAGGAAAATTACCACATTGTGTCTTCTACTCCACAGATATGGGATATCCCTCTGTTAGCTTTTATTTTTAAAAAATTCTCTCAAGA